CTTTAGTGTGCGAAATCTTCAGAAATTATTCTTCAAACGGAAGCCCAAGAGGATGATAGACAGGCCAAAGTTAATGCAATGAAAGCAACTTGAGAGATATAAGCTACCTAATGACTTTGAAGTTGATAGCTATTTGAGCTGTGTGTCTAGCTACTTTGAATCTTTTAGAAATTCTGATCCATATAATGCTTTAGAGTTGAAATTGTATTATGTTTGTTTCAGGAAAGAGGAACGCAAGGAGGACAACAATGAAGCAGAGAAGAAACAGAGTAACAACTGATCCTGCACAAAGATTATCTTTCCTGCACATTGTTTTTGAATGGACACTGGTATAAGTTTGAACAGACATTTTTCATTTTATTGTAGATAAATGGTTATTTTTGAATGCTCTTGCAAATAAGGCTGAATCGAAAGCTAGTGACACTGAAAGCTGCATTTCAGCCCTCAGACCTATTAAGGGGACTAAAATGAATCAGCATGAAAAAATTGAAAGCATGAAATTAATTAAACGTTTACTAATATGAGAACTTTGGTAAAGTTTCCTTTGGATCGCAATCAGAAAACACCAAAACTAAATTCTAACTTGTTTTGTGAGTTGTTAGGTAAAAAAACAGGAGAAAAGGAGAACAAGCATTGCACAAAATATTACTGCCAAAGTCAAACTGAGGAGTAAAAACAATTCCTAAGATATCAATGAAACAATCCCCAGAATTCAGAGCAGAAAGATAACTGATATTATCAAAAAGATAGTTGGAATACTGTAGGAAAACAAAATCACAAACCAGAAATGCATGGCTTTGTTGAGTATGATGATGCACAAGTGGCAGTTTTCTATGTATTTTTTCCTTTACCTTGGGGGTTCAGGTGGGGAGGTCAGTATTGTCATATTTTAATCTTTTAGAACTTTCAGGAAAAGGTAAATGCAAAAGAAGTTGTTGATATGATGTTTGAAAATTTTTCATCAAAAGGATCTGTTAGGAAAAGTATAATTAGTGATGAGATTTTGTTACTGATGGCAGACTTTTGTTCCTAATCGTCAGTGGGCACTAAAAACTTATTGATTCTTAGGAGGCCTACTTATTCTTTGGCCAACTTGAAAGTTTTTGTTCCTGTGATCACTACACATTTTTCTCCTATTTGAAGTACTTTTGCATTTCTTATTTTTCTCTGATTTTTCAGTTTTGTTAATTAAGTGAAATTTATTATTTTACTAAAATAAGTGTAAATAAATACAACTGAGAATTGGATTGGATTGTTGGAGTTAATTCCCAGATTTATTTTGCAACCTTAGACTTGGTCTGACAAAATACACTAAACAATTGTTTTCGGCAGAGTTTATCCACAAGTTCACAATCCTGTCACATTGATTTTTTTTTTCAGTACCTCTTTTGGTGTTTTGGCCTTCATTAATCTTTCCTTGTGTTTTGCCTCTCGTTATCATTTTTACATTGACTCACAGCCAACTGTATTCAACAGCTCAGAAACTTCATCACCAAACTACCCCTGTTTTGGAATGACCATATTGAATTTTGATGTAGTATGGGGGCTGAAGGGCAAGAGTCTATGGAGAGAGATTTGATTTGTGCTAAGGACTGTGTGCCATTTGAAAGTGAAATGATGGTGAAGGGGGGGGAGAGAGGGAGAGAGAGAGAGACAAGCCATAGTTCCTCCAGCCTCCCTCCTCTAGGTTTTCCTTAGGTTCTCCTATCCCTGATGCTCCTCCTTATGTCACTTCATACCAGCCAACTATCACAATTCATTTTCGGCACTGGACCATTCAGCTACCAAAAGTGATGAAAATGCAACTTCCCCTGAAAACGTAAGTGCATTGTTGAGTAAACAAGTAAAGAGAATTAAGTACATCAGCTTAGTGGAAGTAGATTCCATCATCCTTTTAGCTGACATCCCAGGAAATGAACAACTACAAGGTCAAGATAATTCTAAATCCTTTAACCATTTAACTCCCACAAGTGACCAAGACAGAATTTCTCCTTATAATATCAACACAATATCAACCAGATAAGTGAAGAGATTAAAGAAAAATATCAATTTGGGGATAATTAGTTGATCCAATACTAAATTGTCTGAACTAACATTATAGGAATTGTATGGTTGACATTAAGGAGAATTAGAAATTTGATCTGGGAGTTAAAGAGTTTAGGTTACTTCCCAGCTTCGCAGGTGTCCTACAGGAAAAAATTTGTACGTGTGCTAGTTTAACCAAAATCATAGCAAATTATATATCAGAAGAAAGTTTAATAAATGCAGAATACAATAAAACTATCATTTAAGGGACTTTTCTTTAACCCTTTCAATCCTAAGATCTGATTAGTAATTCTCCTTACTATCTGCCATACAATTCTTATGATGTTAGTTCAGAGAATTTGGTATTGGATCAACTAATAATCCCATGATTGATATTCATCTCTATTCTCATCACCTGCCTGCTTGATATCGTATTCATATTGTAAGGAGAAATTCTGTCTTGGTCACTTGTGGGAGTGAAAGGTTAAGAAAGTGTCAGAAGCCAGTAAGGCATAAAGTGACCTAAGGTTCTTCTATTGAATTTCTCGGGCATCGGATGCTGCTGCATGAGCAAGATGGCTGCACAGTCTCATTCACAAGGCATTGATCAACAAGTGTGTGTCGGGCTTTTTCGATATTCTGATTGGTTGAGTAGATATCGGCATCTTAAGTTAGAGTAGCTAAAAAATATGCGAGACAAGTTACGTAAATGGACTCCATGGGACAAATATTTCAAATATCGAAATTTCCTGACACATTTTCCTTTGTCATTATTCCTTTGTCATAATTATTCCTAGGATGCTTTGGGGAAATTTGATGAACATCTATCAAATCTATACACCCTATAAATTTGCTCAAAGTTGTTGTATTCCTCCCTAAATCAAACATGAGATTTTAGCTCCTAAACGTTCACAAACAACTTGTGCCATGCCAGGAGATTATCTCACCTCCTGAAACTGCACACCAATAGGACAATGGGACCTCCTGGCATCAATGACAATGGATCAAGATTTCCTGCAAAAAGGAACCCATTGTCTCTGAAGGTGGGAAGTAACCTTAACTCCCAGAAGTAACTAACATGTGACTTCTCCCTATAATATCCATATGTTACTTGGCAAAAAGGTAATAAGAATACTCAGGTAGAAGTTGTTGTCTTGATCTAACATCAAATTCTCATAACTTACTTACAAAGAAATGTGTAGCAGCTTGAGGAGAGAATTAGCAATTAGATCTTGGGAGTTGAAGGGTTAACTAACATATCAGAAAATAGATTGCTTGGCTGATGCTAATACTGTGCCTTTTCCCTCAAATAAGCCATAATTGAGTAAGTTAAGTTTTGAATGAGTTCTATATCTTAAGAGTGTGAACTCTAGGAGCAGGTTAAAATTTAAAGATCTAAACAAAGTAGAGGATTATTTATATTACCAATAAGTTGAAATCTTGTTTTACTTGCTTGCAAGGGCATAAAAAGAATATAAAGCAAGTTTGGTTTAATATGAAGAAGGATGTTTTTTGTTGCATCACAAGTAGGGGACAAAACAATTCTGATGGGGAATCAAATCTCAGACTTTCTGAATCAACCCCACAATCGGACACTGAGCCACAGAGACTCTCTTGACAAAGGCCATTACAAGGTTCATGTGTCATGGTAGGTTGTTTACACTTTGTTACTGGATACAAAGCCATCTTTGAGTCCACAAACTACACCACACTTTTCCACATATGTTCTCTACTCTGTTCTGGAGTTGTTCCTTTTCAGCCAATATGCTTGTCTCACACCTGGCTCATATCAACTTTACTGGATTCATGAGACATCTCACCTTAAGTCTCTCTTCAGACTGTCTCTGTTAGAAAACAACAACGAGTAAGTCAATATGTATCATTTTAATGCAAAGTGGTCCTATGTTTAAGCCCTTTGCTCTTGAAATATACAAACTAGCAAGAATGGATGGATGAGATATTCTGAGGAAGCAGATGTCCTCGGAAGTTGTAGATTGTGAAGGGGAAATGTAAACAGGAACAAATTCCATCCCCCTGACCATCTAATTAAAAGATAGAACAAACACTAACTCTGACAATACTAAATTGCTCATGTCCTAAGGAAAGAAACCTTAGTGAAGTTTACAAAATAACCTACTGGTAACACTTATTAAGATTTCCAAACTGCCTAAATTTCCATCAGATATAAAAAAAAATTGAATTATTTCCTCCTACATGTTTCCTCAACAAATTTATTCAAACAAATATTATCACACCTATAAAGGACACCAGCCATAATAGAGAGAAGAAAATTTGTTATCCTCTTAGTCAGTAATTAGTGCATCATCAACCACAGCCTTGACCCATTCCACAAATACTGTGCAGAACATCTTCAGTGTGACTGGAAAAGAACCCAATTTGGTCGTTGAAAAAGTCATTTCTGTAGATTTACAGAAATTTTATTGCTACACAAGTGGTAATTTGAAGACAATTGTTACAACATACATGACAACAACATAAACATATTATTATCATAGTTATATTATCATCAAAAATAGTCTACCAATTAAAAGTAATTTGCCTATTTGACATTGCATCTGGAATTTTTATTTATTTATTTTGCTTGTAGGTGTAGAGTGCGTGACATGTTTTGTTGAGTTCATGAACCACAAAGGGTGTCGGGAAAAAAAAGAGAAAAAGCATGTGCTCGGAGTTTTCGAATAAATACAACCTTGTGTTTAATTAATCTGGTGATTTGAGTGTGTAACATTGGCGACCCCGCCAGGATTCGACCGAAGAGGCTTATCATCGACGAAGAACTGCCTTGGGTTGTGAAGGACAAAGTAATTGGCACGCTTGGTTGATTCGTCATACAACAGCCAAAGGAAAACCCTCAAGAATTCTTGATCCGCCTTCTCGATTTGAAACAGAAGATCTTGTTTGCATCCCAAGAAACTGACTCGGACCTGAAATATGATCCTACCTTAGTACATGGCATGTTTGTCCATAGCTTTTCCCTTGGCCTGCAAAGTGAGAATATCAAGATCGAAATGAAGCCTTACTTGGAAAAGAAATTTATAAGCGATGAAGAACTATTCGAGAAATTAAATGTGTGTTTCAGTGACGAACTGGAGCGATCACAGAAATTCGGTTCACAGCTAACCCCCAAGGTAAATGCTGTTCAAAAGGGAGGGGACAAGCAGGAGACAAAGAATAATGGGGTGGAGGAAGGTCTCATGAAAGAACTAAGGGAGCTCAAGGCAGAAGTGGCCGCAGTCAAAGAGAGAGTTCGGGCCCCACTCCGGGCTCAAACCCCCCTCACACAACAGCCTATGAGACAACCCCCACTGTGTAGGACCTGCCAACAAAGTGGGAATGGATGGCCGTGCAACCATTGCTTCAGGTGTGGGGCGAGTGGCCATTATGTACGCGAGTGTAATGCCCAATTCAGCCGACGCTCTCCGGCAGAATCTCAGGGAACGGCCAGAGGTCACGCCCATGGGACAGGGTGTGACCAGGCAAGAAAAATCAGTCCCGTTACGTGCAGTGTGGAAAACAAAGCACAGACCATGTACCACTTAACCGCTGCGGAGCCTGTAAGATCAATAGATATTATTCAAAAGAATGTCAAGTAAAATACAGAACTGTGCATAAACCAGTTTGCATGGCTATACAGGAACTTGAGAAACAGAAAGCAGCCGGAGATGATGGCGATGATTTGAACACGACGTTTCCCTGCCACCTGACGCCAAGGCAGCAGCTCGGACTGACAAAAATCGTGGGACGGAGGTGCGTGGTAAAATGCCTAATTCAAGGAAAGGAAGTGGAGGCATTATGGGATACAGGTTCCCAGGTTTGTGTTGTGTCAAGGAAGTGGCAACAAACTCACTTACCGCTGGAGGTGTTAAGAAATGTTGAAGAGTTGTTGGGAGCAGGAGAAGAGTTGAATTTGGAAGCGATGAATGGGACAAACATTCCATTTGACGGTTGGATTGAGGTCGGGTTTAAGTTGGCTGGAGATGATACAACTGCTCATGAGCTGACAGTTCCAGTACTGGTGGGACAAAAGGAACAAGAGTACCCAATCATTGGCTTCAATGTTATAGAAGAAGTCCTCGCTCAACATGGTGGAAACCACCAAGCGGCAAGTAACATCATTCAGCAGTCATTCCCTTCAATTCATCATACTCGCGTAGGTACCCTGATCAATCTGATCCAGTCAAGAACACAGGATACCGGTACTGCAGCTGTTAAAGTCGGAAAGAGAGATGTTATGCTGCCAAAAGGAGAGGCAACGACAGTTAAGTGTCAAACTCACCTCGGACCAGTTCCAGAGGGGATGCCAGTAATCTTTGAGCCCAAGGAAGACAGCGAGCTCCCAGACGGACTGGAATTGGGCGAGGAACTTACTAAAATAACCCCGGGAACCTCTAGTCACGTGGCCGTCGTGGTCCAAAACAATACAGACAGAAACATCTTGTTAAAGCGCAGAACAGAATTGGGCCGGATACACCTGGTAAAGTCAGTTCTACCAATTCCAATACTCCCGACTCGTACTCTCGAGGAGACGAGGATTTTACCCTGAAGCTACCTTGCATCCTGGTCAGGAACAAGATGGATGGGAGCCACCAGTTGACTTGAGTCAGCTAGAAGACAATGAACAATTGATCGTCCACGAAATGCTACGGCAAGAAGCTGGTGCCTTTGCAAGAAACGACGATGAGGTTGGCTGCGTGGAGAACTTGGTGCTTGATCTCCAGTTAAAGGACAATGAGCCAGTACAGAAGAACTATATCTCCATCCCCAAGCCACTCTATGGGGAAGTGAAAGAGTACTTAGAAGACTTGATTAATCGAAATTGGATCTGCAAGTCCCGTTCGGCTTACTCCTCACCTATGGTCTGTGTTCGCAAAAAGGATGGAAGTCTGCGACTTTGTATTGATTATCGAGAATTGAACAAGAAAACATATCCAGAACGACAGCCGATTCCCCGTATACAGGATATCTTAAATGGCCTAGGCGGCAACAAATGGTTTACAGTTCTGGACCAAGGGAAGGCCTACCACCAAGGCTTTATGACAGAAGAAAGCCGCCCCTGACTGCATTCGTGACCCCTGGGGATTGTATCAATGGAATAGAATACCGTTTGGGCTAATGAATGCACCGGCGGCATTCCAAAGGTGCATGAATGAATGTCTAGATGGCTTACGTGACAACATCTGTATTCCCTACCTGGATGATGTCTTGGTGTATAGTAAGACCTTTGAGCAACACGTTCAGGATGTCCAACAAGTCCTGCGTCGACTGCAGGAACATGGGATAAAGTTAAAGCCATCAAAGTGCAAGTTCTTCCAACGACAAGTTAGATATTTGGGGCGGGTTGTTTCCGGCGATGGCTACTCTCTAGACCCAGAGGACACGGCTGCCGTACACAACTTGGCGAAACAGAAACCAGCAACAGTGGGTGATGTGCGTAAACTGCTAGGGTTCCTGAGTTACTACAGGCAATACATCCAGGATTTTCACGCATAGCTAAGCCCCTGTACGATCTAATGGCTGGCCCTGATCGATTGGCTAATAATCATAAGGTAACATGGACAGAGGAACATCAGAAGCGGCTTGACATGCTGGTCGACCGACTGACTTCTCCTCCAGTGATGGCATTTCCCGACTTTACGAAGCCATTTGTACTTCACACAGACGCCTCGCAAGAGGGACTTGGAGCTGTATTGTATCAAGAACAGGACGGGAAGCTCAGAGTTCTAGGTTATGCCTCTAGGACACTAACTCCAGCAGAGAAAAATTACCACATGCACGCGGGAAAATTGGAGTTCCTTGCCCTCAAATGGGCAGTAACTGAGAAGTTCCGTGATTACTTGTACTACTCCACCTTCTTCACTGTTTACACCGACAACAATCCACTAACTTACATTCTGTCGTCAGCTAAGTTGTCTGCAGTAGGGCACCGGTGGGTGGCAGAACTGGCAGATTTTAATTTTAACATCAAGTATCGGCCTGGCAAATCTAACATTGACGCGGATGTACTATCCCGCCTACCGCTAGATTTCAGTGCATACATGGAAACCTGTATTGCAGAAATGGAAAAGGACGCAATTTGTGCAACAAGTCAAGCAGTGATCCATCAGGAAACAGACGCCACACCCTGGGTGGCAGCAGTTTCAGCAAGAGTTGGCATTGCTCACGCAGAACCGGGCGTCACAGATTTGGTTTTTCGCCAACTTACGTTAGAAGAAATATGAAGGGCTCAACGGGAAGACCCCGACATCTCACGAATCCTGGCCTACAAGAAACGGGGATATCCCCCATCAGGAGGAGAGCGGAAAAATGAGACTCGTACAACATCTTGCTACTTGAGAGCATGGAATAAACTCCATATATCAGCGGACGGGATCCTGTGGCGCCAAACTAAGAGTCGATTGCAGCTAGTATTACCCACAAAGTTTAAACAGTTGGTTTACCAAGAACTTCACATTGAAATGGGTCATCTGGGTGCAGATCGAGTGGTGGACTTAGCGAGATCTAGGTTCTATTGGCCTTACATGCAAGAGGAAATCGAGTATTTCATCGCCAACAAGTGTCACTGCATCCAGCAAAAGAAGCCCCAAATCTCCCTAGAGCACCAATGGAGAGCATTACGACGACTGCCCTTTTGAGATGGTGTCTATAGACTTTCTTCATTTGGAGAAAAGCCAACGGGGATTTGAATACATTTTGCTGATAGTAGATCACTTCACAAGGTTTGCACAGGCCTACCCAACCCGAAACAAGACAGCACGAACGGTGGCTGAAAAGATTTACAATGACTTTGTACCACGATTCGGATTCCCAGCCCGTATACACAGTGATCAAGGAGGAGAATTTGAGAACAATCTCTTCCATCAACTACATAAGTTGTCTGGCGTTTCCAAGTCTCGCACCAGCCCCTACCACCCTCAAGGGAATGGGCAAGTGGAGAGGATGAACCGCACGCTATTGTCTATGCTGCGAACACTCCCAGATTTGAAGAAACGAAAGTGGGATGAATCACTCAACAAGATGATCCACGCGTACAATTGCACTAAGCATGAGGCGACAGGATACGCTCCGTATTACTTGTTGTTTGAAAGAACACTTTCATTTTCGGCGGGGAAGTGTGTAGAGTGCGTGACATGTTTTGTTGAGTTCATGAACCACAAAGGGTGTCGGGAAAAAAAAGAGAAAAAGCATGTGCTCGGAGTTTTCGAATAAATACAACCTTGTGTTTAATTAATCTGGTGATTTGAGTGTGTAACATAGGCCTGCAATGCATTGGGAAACAACACTGAATGAAGAACATCTGACCTGTCAAGCAAATAAACCATCAATTTTTTTCTTTCTGAAGAAATAAAAATATGGAGACATAACAATAATCACAGTGAATGCAACTGAGGATTTCTAAACTATATCACATATTCTGTTGATGGCTGCAGATCAGTGAAAGAGTTTTTTTTTCTCATAAAAGACAGTCTAAGCCTGAAAACATAAGGCAAGAACTTGTATCAAAATTGCAGTTAGCACTTTTGGCACTTAGAGAATTATTGTTATTATTGCTATTATTACATGTATTCTTGTCATTATTAAAAAAGTAAACAATAGGCTTGCAATGCATTGGGAAACAAAAAATCTATCTCACGGCTTATTTGTGATTGTTAAGGGACACTGTAAGCACTCCAACATAGGTCTGCAGTGCATACCTGTGTTGCTTTTCATTCACAACAAGGGGTTTTCTCTCTTACAAATCACTAAGACCAACAAATGGATGAAACACAAAACCTCTCTGAGTTTTTAAGAGAAAAGAAATGTCTCTAAGTGTAATGAAGACTCCTATACATTTCACCCTTTAACTCTCATGGCAATCACGATAGAATTTCTAATTATAATATCAAAACAATATCAAGGAGACAAGTGATGAGAACAAAGAGAATAAAAAAGATCATCATCTTCATTATCACAAAGTAAGATCTCCATGTACACCTCAGCAGTCTTTTTAGGTAAAAAACAAAACAAAAACAAAAAAAATGGAAGAATCATTATTATCATCCTCACTGTTATTATCACAAAAGAGATGTTTTCTATGAAAAATTACCAAGACCAAAGAATGGATATAACAAAAAATCCTATCTGAGTTTTTACAAGAAAGTGACAATGTGTAATGAAGACCCCAACAGATTTAACCTTTTAACTTTCAAGAGTGAAAATTTATCATTATAATAATATCAAAACGAAATCAAGGAGACAAGTGATGAGAATAAAGAAAAGTATTAATCAGGGGATTATTGGTTGATCCAATAACAAATTCTCAAAACAAACATCATAGGAATTTTAGGGTAGAAAGTAAGGAGAATTACTAATGAGATCTTGGGAGTGTAATGGTTGAAAGAACCTGCTCTTTGACTCAATCAACTCTCATTGTATTTCAAAAGCATATGACAAAGGAAATATTTCAGCTTCAGACAAGTTAAAGAATCCTTCACATAGACACTCAAGCAATTTGAGGAAAAATATATCCCCCGATTATTCTATGACAAAGCCAAAGTCCTAAAAGTTAGATAAGTGACAATGTATGATGAACACCCTGGTCATCCTCATCATCATCATCATCAAATTTGAAGTACATAAGACAAAGGAAATGTCTCAGATCAAGAAGAGTTAAAGAATCCTTTAGATGAACAGTCAAATGCTTATAGGAAAGATTTCCCTATAATCCCATACTTTAAAGATGTAGTCCTAAAATCAGTGCACTGTTTATGCCAATGTTTCTATGTTCTTATAACTGTGTGTATAATGATCTATGTGTTACACAGAAATCTTTCCTACTCTTACACAGAGCAACACATGTACAGATGACTGGCCTCAATTCAAATCATTTCAAACCTCATAATTGTTTGGCCATGTGAGACCTTGAGATGTCAAGGTTACATATATATCACGTATAAGTTATCCCTGCCAAATTGGACTATTTTTACCCTGTAACTCCCATGAGTGACCAAGACAGAATTTCTCCTTACAATATCAGTACAATATCAAGCAGACAAGTGATGAGAATAAAGAAAAATATTAATATGGGAATTACTTCAACTCAGTTGATCCAATACCAAATTCTCCAAACTTTCATCACAAGAACTATAAGGCTGACAGTAAGGAGAATTACTAATGAGATCTTAGGAGTTAAAGGGTTGAGGTGATTCCTCAGTAATTAGCCCTGCACATCATGTACTGTGCATAATATCACATAATCAAGCCAATAAGCATATGTGCATTCCAAGAACATGGTATTGTTTATCAATCAATGGACCCAATAAAGAGGTGCAATGGTCTTTACCTCTTAAATGAGCACAGTGACTATGTTTTATTTCCCATAATTTTGGTGCACAAAGCCCATTACTCAATGAAGCAAATTATAACCCTGAAAGGAATGACTCAAGGAACATTTTGAGTCGATATCGTTTAAATTTGCGTAATATTCCCACAAATTATATATCAAATTGTTCCATACACTCGAGACTTACTACCTATCAAGTTTTTTTCCAGCTGCAGCAAAATGTA